AAAACTAATAAACACTTTTTGTTATGAATAACAAGATATTATTATTTACTTTCAAAAATATAGAATCAAAGTACCTATATTTTTAAATATATAACGAATATTTATTTCATCATCAAATATTAATTTCATCATGTCACTTAAGTTTAATGAAGAGTTTAAATACGCATTACGTGACATAGCAAATAACTCTTTTAAGCTGGAAAATGAATTTGGTAATTTAATCTAACAATTATTATGTATATTTAAATTGTTGAAATTATTCGTGTGCCCTTCTGAAACTTTTAATTCTATTCTATTCATAAATCAGTCATTTTTTATTATTTTGATTAATTATCATAATAATTTATATTACCATTATTTTAAATTTTAGACAGAGTCCGTTGTACTGAATGGGTTCATAAATTGGTGATGTTGTCAGATGATTCTTTAGAAAATATAAAAATTCGCAATGATTATGCTCAATATTTACGTATAATGCTTAGAGCTGGTGTTCTACATGGAATATTTTCCAACAGTCCACCAACAATTTTAATGCCTTTCCCTGAAGCCATGGTAAGATGGAATATAATTTAAAATCAATCTGTTTACTATTTAATAAATAATAATAATAYCCTTCTATTACGTCGTAGRGGTAATTAAAAATAAGATTGTGTAAAAAATATATTTTTAAAATTATTGAAATTAAATGATTTTGATAGAATGTCAAATATATTTTATTTAGGGAAAATTGGTAGCATCAAAAGTTCCATCTCTTCCGCCTATGGGACCAATTAATGTGTACATGAAGCACTGGTCTCCGGACGGACGAGCTTATGTGGCTATAAAACCAATACCTGGAAAAGGAGTACTAACTTACCTTTCAGTCACTCCAATAACTGATGGACAACATAATAATTAGTTTGAATATTAATAAATTGTATTTTTAATTGACTTAACATTTTTTTTTTCTTAAAAAATAATGGGTATAGTAAATTATTATATGCCAGTGGAAGTGACTTTATTAATTATCATTAATTATAAATGTTTATCAATTAGTATTGCTATATTGTATTATAAATTTTAATATTATTATTAAAATACATCCATAGTGATATGCCGGTATATAAAGGTATAAAAATACTAAAATAAAAATTACCAAAAATAAATTGAACTTATAATTTAGTTTTAGTCCAAGTCATATTAAAACTATTTTTCTAATAACTTTAGAAGCTTCTAATAAAATTTTTTGCCAATTTATTTTAAATATTTTTAATGATTTTTAGCAGTTCTTAATTAATATTATCCGAAATCAATTTTGTCAAAAACTGGTTTTACGTTAATATTGCTATTTATTAAATATTCTAGATATTTTCAAATCCCAGGAGTACCAACTAGATCCAATTTTCTATCAAAAATGACGATAACAGTTTAAGGTCAAACGATTGGACTATTTTTCCACTGTAAAACGTGTATATACAGATTAACATCAGATATACACACACACACAAACTGGTAACGTTTTACCGTACATTAGGTGTCTAGAAATTCATTGTAATGTTGTGTTAAATTTGAATTCAATGTTATAAAATCATTATATACAAAAAACGATTTTTATCGAAAAAGGGATCAGCCAATAATATTACTAAATATTTAAGGATTTAAGTTATTTATTTTGCTATTATCCAAGRGGACGTCCAAAGAAGCGATGGATAGATGGTATAAAGCAGGATTTAGAGAAACTAGGGATATCAAATTAGGAAGAAAAGGTGCAAAATCGGGAAGAGTGGAGGGAGTTATCGGTGGCGGCAAAAACTCTTGAAGAGTTGTGATGCCAATGAGAGAGAGAGATTTTGCTATTAGTCATTCTTATTGGTACTAGTGTACTACAATAGGTTAAATTAATTTTTGCAACAAAGAAAAATTAGCATTTGAAATGGTACTGTTTATTAAGTATAATAATATACTAAAAGGTCTAAAACCAACTGTAAACATTTCAAGTATCCAAGAATAATATTTTYAAATTACAACCAAATAATTAAAATCGTTATTCTWGATTTAAATATGTAATTTTATTCAAATTCGAACTTAATATAACTATTAAAAGAAAACTTTGCTAAAGTAYTTTTAGAATTTTTTGGTTACAGAATTAAAATCTTATTTCAACCTTGTTTTAAAGACCTTWTACATTCATTATCAAAATTTATAATCATAATAAAAAATAAATGTAAACAATATTTTATGRTGGCTTGGCGGGGCGCAGTTGCTGCGATCATTTATGCAATGTGAACACAACATTTTTCCTGGATAGATGACTAYTASCCGGTTTCTTAGAGGTAAAAACCTTGCCACACATACACGTGTTTCAAGCCAACCAATAGCCTCCCTCACAGTTAGAACCCTACTAAAAATAGCCACTCAATAGCCTATGTTGACGCGGGTTAATTAATAAAAAAAATCTAGTTATCTATATGATATATTATTTTATAAAATCTTTTTTTTCCATTTTTTTCCTTTTTTATTCATTGTTTTTATAATGGGTACCACCTAGCTACTTATGATTATCATGGATATAAAAAAAAAGAAAAACATTCTATGAAAAAATTACATCTGCTATATATTAAAAATACAACTATACAGTAAGGTAATACATTATATATGTACCTACTCAAAATCGTTTAAATTTCATCATTAAATTATAAAACGTAAACGTGTTTTATGGTAAATAACAACCTAAATATATTTATACGGACACGAATAATTAACGTGAATTTAAAATTCTAGTTAGTATTCGTTATTTATATTATAGAGCACCTGCCTTGCAWCCCTTTTATATTCATAAAAATTATTTGATACTAATGTTAATCAATAAATAACATAATAGCTAATAGGTAATAAATTCTTATAATTTTAATAACTTAAAGCATATTTTCTAATCTACTTATACAATTTTAAAACTATCTATTGTAGAAAATGTTTTTAATAGTTTAATGATACATTTTTAAACTWTATTTTAGTTATTTTGTTGTAAATTTAAAATATCATTCGGGATTTCAAACTTTTACGTATATTATTATATTTTATACATACAATGACGTTTTTAAATTCAAATTTTT